TTTGGATGAAGGGGAAAAAATAGGAACAGCAATATCTTGTTTAAATGGAACTTTTGTTGCACACATAGAACCAGCACATGAGGACAATAAGGTAAAAACCATTGATGGTATTACTAATTTATTTTACTTTGAATGGCCAGTAACAGGTGATTATTCTAGATATATACAAGCTCAATGTCTGCCACATATTGGAGAATGTTTACAATTTTCACCATCAGAGATATTAAAAAATACAACCACTATAAACAAGCCAACACCTTTGGTTTCTTCTCATTCAGTACCTGACAATTCATGGAATGTTTCATTGTCTCATGCTCAAGGTAAAAATAAATAGATATATATAATGAAAATATGAATTACATTATATTTATATTATTAATTTGCAATTTATATACATACATAAGCCAGACAAATAAAAGAAGATGAATCAAATAAATCAAATAATAATACTCAGTCATTAGGTATATCCAAAAAAAATTATATTGCTATTATTGCTATTGATTATTTAAATTTTTGTTTCTATGGTTTTTAATATAGATATTGAAGAATCATTTGAATTAAAAAAGGGATGGGCATTAAAAAGCAAACAAAAATATGGAATAAGAGGAAAAGGAAAGCATATGAAAAAGAAAGTGAAATTTTACCTTGAAGGATATTTCTTAGCAGGTAACATTAATATAACTGATCCAATGACAGCAAAGGAAATGATAAGCCAACTTCAAATTTTAGCTGATGAAGGTGAAATTCAAGTTGAGGATATCCCTGAAGTGCCAACAGTTGCAAATTGGATTACACAGTATGCAGCAAATATGAAAAAACTATCAGTACAAATAATAATCATGAACAAAGACAGTGAAGTGGTAAGTGATAACAATGAATTTGATGCACATGAAAAAGGTAAAAAAACTATTTTTGATAACTCTAATAATGATTATGAACATTTGACAAAACGTCAAAAAAAAAATAAATAAATAAAATTTCATACTTTGTACTGGAGTTGCCTTTCTAAATTCCTGAGAAGGTTCAAAAGGCAACTCTATTTTGTGCTATTTACAATGCACCAATTTTTATAATAAAAATTTTTTTTTTTTCATCCTCAGGTTTATTAAATACATTTGGATATTTCATTATTGTGTATTATTTATAAAAACAAGAGAGAGTGTATGTATAAGAACCATTATTCAAGTCGGTATAATTTACAGTATTTGAATTTGCTATATTTCTGACACCCAAATCTCTATGTCCAATATATAAAAGTCTTTGAGGAACACTATAAATTCTTTTGTTTTTTTAATATTAATATAATATGGGATTTATTCTATCCATATGTGGAAAAGATGATATTTGTAATACAAAAATATAATATTTTATTGTTTGTTAAACATTTTCCATTAGCAAATTTTTGACATTTTTGCCCTGCTGATCCCATCCAAAATTCACTCATTTATTCACAGATCGGCAATTAATGATATTTTTAACTATTTGTGTCACATTTTGATCATGTCATGTGTAACTGGTTTGAATGGTTTGAATGGTTCCAAAAACCAAACCAAAGAAAAAACAGGAGTTGGTTTCAAAACTGAGTTCAAACCGTTTATTAGCAAAACCAACCCATCCCTAAGCATGGCACAGAAAGTTGTGGGACTAAGTGACTTGCACTATACTAAAAAATTTTTAAGCTCATATGTACATGTACAATTCCCAACCCTGGAAATATGAATATAAGTGATTTTCAGTGTAACATTGCACAATATATGGTGCAAACATTATTATTATGCAAATAGGGATATTAATAATGATTTATTATATTATGCAAATAGGGATATTAATAATGATTTGTTATATTATATGTAATTAATTTGATAAAAAAAATTAAAATTCAAAAGCTGCTTGATGCAAAAAAATAATAAATAACAAGCAATTAGCAAAAACTATATAAATAGAAATAAGATTTAATATTTATTATCATTACCACTTTACTTTACCATGAACTTCTTTTGGAAGTTGTCTGACAAATTCATTAAAATATTTTATATGAGATTTCAAAGATGTTTTTGAATAAAAATCTTTTGAAAATTCAATAAAAGGAAAAAAAATAAATTAATATGTAATATATTATTTCTTTATAATTTCTAATTTAATTACCTTTTGTAACTGGATGTATAGCATGTGCTCTTTCCAATTCATCAACCAACAGGCTAACTGTTGGTGAGCTTAATGGATCAAAATCATCACAAGTTTCTGGTAAAATTGGAACACATACTCTACCTAATAAAATGAAATATTTATATCATCTTAATTAATTAGTAATGGTAATAATAATGATGATGATGATAAATTATCTATCTTACCTGTATTAGGATGTACACAAAATGGACTTTTCAATAAGTGACTAATGGTTGTTGATACTGCTCTATCAAGCCTTGGATATGCATATTGAAGAATGATTTCATTTTCACACATTGATAAATTTTTTTTATTTAATTCATCTGTTATATTCTTCCACCTATCTGAAGATGTTTGTGATGGGTTTTCCAACCAATGTTTTGTACACAAAATGGACTTTTCAATAAGTGACTAATGGTTGTTGATACTGCTCTATCAAGCCTTGGATATGCATATTGAAGAATGATTTCATTTTCACACATTGATAAATTTTTTTTATTTAATTCATCTGTTATATTCTTCCACCTATCTGAAGATGTTTGTGATGGGTTTTCCAACCAATGTTTTGTTAAAGTGTTTTTTATTTCTATATTTAACAAAAAAATTTTAATATCAAAGTATTTTCATTTTCTTTTCATCCTCAATGGTTGCTAATTAATATATTCACCTTCATTAGGAATACATCCTAATACTTTATTCCAACAATTTTCATCTTTCAAAACATCTTGATCCTTCAATATTAAGTCATCAAAATATTGGTTTATTATACTTAAAGATCGACTAATTATTTGTTGTTCATAAAAAAATTACATATGAATATTATGTATATCTTTATCTATATTAAATTATAGTAAAATACCTTATGGAAGGATGCAAGTGCCCATGAAGGTTAACTCTTTTCTGTGCTTGTGCGCCACCCTATACAGTATATGCAAACATATTGATTTATAATTGACAAAAAAGTTTTGTACTCTCATGCTATATAACAAACCTTAATAACTTCCAAGTATGATACAATAGCCTTTCTCTCACTGTCATCTAATTTTCTGGCAATTTCATCACAAACCCAACAATGAACACCACGTCTACCTGAATATACCCACAATAAATGGTTAAATCCAAAATCATCTAAATAACAAAATATGAAAATTACAGTTGTGTGAATTATGTGTGCTATGAATAAAACAAGAAGCTCTTAATTATATAATCATGTAGTAATTGTTTGATTGATTAACCTCTTAATGCAACATCAATTATCTTGATTGCAATTGTCATAAATTTCCAACATTTTAAACAAATGTCACCACCACTTTAATTAAAATTAATTAATATTTAAATAAATATGTATATGTATATAAAATATATATGTGCACATGTATACCTGCAACATGTTCTAATCTCATCATAATCTGTCATATCAATATCAAATACCAATTCCTTTTCAACTGGCTTAAATGCTGATGGTTTAAGGGATCTCTTATCTGCTGGCTTTATTTTAAAATGATCAATAGTTAATCATTGATCCCCTCTCACATCTTCCAATTATCAATCAAAATATTATTTACCCTCGCAGTGTATATTGCTCCAATGTCTATTTTTTTAGGACATTTATTTATAATATCCTTTTTTAATGCCTCAATGTTATTATATGAATTATATCTTGAATATATATCTCCATTTAATATAAAACTAAACTCTCGATTATAAAATGATTTCCCAACATCTAAAAAAATATTAATAATAATAAAATAATAATAATCATCATAAACCATTATTTATAAATAAAATTGATACCTGTTCCATAATTTAACCAATTAAAAATTTGGTTGTATGGAAACAATCTATGATAATATATTCTTAATTCATCATCAGGAGAGTTATTAATGCTATTTTTTTAAATATAAGAAACCAAAATGATCAAATAATTGACATTTTTTGTTTTCAAAATTACCTTCCCTTCTAAAAATACTCACTTCGTCATTCTCAGTTCAGTTTTAAAAAAATTTTATCAATTCTCTTTGTATCACATTACGCGATTTTTTAATTGGACAAATAAACATTTTGGAGGACATTCATATTTGTGTTACAAGGGAGTAAGCAACAAGTATCACAAAAATATTGAACATTTATTGGTTAATTATTTCTTAATAGTAATAATATAATTAATATTAATATACAGTTCACTCTCTCTATAACGGCCCCCATTCTATAACGCACTGTAAATAAGAAACCAAATTTTTACTATATAAAAACCTTACTCTATAACGGTTCTCTTAATTAAATTTCTTATAGTGTATAACGGCCAGCCTCTGAAAATTCTCTCTTATGTTTTATATGTTGTCTATAACGGCTGACGATCATGATCTGAGGTAATCATTACCAAATTAAGAAATTCAGTGTGTCACAATCAATTATTAATAATTTGAACGCGCTTATTGTCACAATGCTCCCACTCATTCTATTTCTGAATCAACAAATTTAAACTAATGTAAGAGTTTACTTCTTACCGCCAAACACAACAACATTTTTACAACCATGTGATGCCAGAATAATTAACAGCTTCAAGGTGAACTACAAAAAACTTTTCTTGCAAAAAAAAAAAATAGTGATTATGAAGAAGAGAGAAATGGTCAAGAATATGAAAAAATTTCAATTAAACATGCAATTAAATTTTCAGAAAAAGCTTGGAAAAAAGTTACCAGTCAACTATAGTTAAGTGCTGGAAAAAAACTGGGATTTTACCTGATTATGATATTAATTCCAACAAAATTGAAAATATGTCATCAATTTTAAATTCATTGAATGTAAGAGAGCTCAATGATTTGCAAAATTTGATTGATGAACTTGCACTCCCTAATCCTATATCCACGTCTGAATACATTGAAATTGATGACTCTCATGTAAGTGATGAAATAAATTTAAATGACATAGTTACAATAATTAATCCACCAGAGGAAAATGAAAGCCAGGAAGAAATAATCAAAGAACTTCCACCTGTTACAAATAAAGAAGCCTTGTCAGCAATAAAAACATTAGAAATTTACATTGACCAACAATCAGAATTAAATGAGGACAATTTTAAATTATTGGAAAGTCTTAAAAAGAAAAATTAAAAAAATTGATTTTAACTCACAACAACAATCCACACTAAATAGCTTTTTTAACATTGAATAAGTATGCAAATTATAAATAGTTTATTTTTAAATATATTTTATCATATAAAATAAAATCTTTATATTGTATCACATTATAATTTATCACATGACTATGATCTGCAAACTCTCTATAACAGCCTCTCTCTATAACGGCCTTTTTTTGCCAAACCAGGCGGGCCGTTATAGAGAGAGTGAACTGTATTAATGTAATGTTTAAATATTCATTGTATTGAAATTATATATTGCAAGCCTATGTTTTTGATCCAAATTGTTATCAAATGTTACATTAGGATATCATCATCAATTGATGGATTATCATTTGAATTTTTCTCATTTTCATTCCCATTTTCATCTAATATGGATGTATTTTCTATATTTTCCAATCATTGTATACACAAATTACCTAAATTTTTAATTCCATTAATAAAATAATCTAAACAATACTGACCACATATCAAAATGTTTGAATCACAATCCTCTTCAATATTGCAATCCTCATAATCACACTTAATATTAGAATCTTGTGGATTTGATGTATGATATCCTGAAGGTAATGTACAGAACTGAACTTCCAAATTAAATATTAGTAAGGTATATGTTTTCTTTTTGCCCTTTTTGTAATAGACTCCATTTCTTGCTTTAAGCTATCTATATTGTTTTTTAAATTATCTATTTCATTTTGTAAATCTACTATTTCTGAAGAAGATATATTAGTATTGTGAGATCAAAATCTGCATCTCACACAAATCTCTTGGATTTGGTTAAACTAATATTTATTTCATTTCTCTGGCAGTATCCAATTATTTAATTTATAATTATACTTTCTTTCTTCTATAGCACCCAGGCTATTTATCTTTTACAGGGCAAGTTTAACTTCCCTTCCAGTAACATTCTCTCAGCAGTTCTTTGTTATCTGCCTGAGCTGGCACGTCTCAATGATATTTATAATATCTGAAGTATCCATCGTGATACTTTCTACACTGATTATTATATTTATGGCTCAGTCTCTTATAAGGTTGTGGGCGAAACCTCCTTAGTAATTGCTGAAACCATGGCAAAACTATATTAAATCTTATCAAAAATCCTGTTGAAACTATGCTGAAATGGCAAAACCTCAAAATGCAAAACTCTGCCGAAATTCTAATAAACAATTAATGTGTAACCTGCTGAAACCCTGCTGATTGATTTCTGGAGGAGTTTCGGCAAGCAACCTTAGTCTCTTAACTGACACCACCTAGCTAGGATTTCCACTATTTAGGCATTTGCCTAATCTAGATAAAAATAAAGAAAATAAAATTAAAAGAAAATAATTATGCATGCGATTAGTATAAATTCATCATTAGGGATAGATTTATTATCATTACGAAAATATAATGTTCGAAGTTAACAAGAACAAGGTCAAGGTCAAGGTCAAGATTTATTTATTATAATATTTGAATTTACTAAAAAAACTAATAAAACTTTGAGTTAAAACTAAATATTACATGAAAGAGAAATTTACAATGTATTTATACATTTTAGAGGTTCTATCATCTAGTTCTCTGATTTCTTTAAAATCCTAAATTATACTAAATAATGTATTCTTTCATCGTTATTTAAACCTTCCATGTAGAATTATTTTCAAGTAATTTCTAGTCAACATGAGTCATGTAAAATTCTTTCATTTAAATATTATTCTGAGACTTTGTAATTCGTTACATTTTAGAATGTTGGAATATTTATATTTCCAATATTTCCGTGAGTCAATTATTTTATGGGTGTTTGAATAATGTTTTGATCACTTGATCAGTTTTTCCGATTTTATTTGCGTGTAACTTCATAAATCATTTCCGATTTATATATCAGTTTCCCGTGATTTATAATTTACTATTTTACAGTATTTAATTATTTTCTTAACTTTTTTGTTATTGGTAGATATGTTTCCTGACTAGTATTAAGTCTATATTTTGATATTTAATGTTTCGAACCTTTGAGGTGTGCAGAGAGAATCACCTATATTAAATTCAAAGCATCCTCTTCAGCTTTTCCTTTAGTAATTTCATTTACTGTTCTAAAACTTTCAGTTTTAGTTTCTTTACAAAGTGCACATTGTTTAGTTTTTGACATTTTTCACTATTATATACTGAAGTCAAGGAAGGAATGATCTGCAATGATCTGACATGGAAAACATTTTAAAAGATAAAGGATTATATTACTCCAAAGTTTGAATACAGGTTAATTAGTGTTCGTCCATTCACCTTCCAAATGGGGTAATAGTGGTTTAAATCTTCAAATGAAATGTATATTGGTGATTGTATAGCATATGAATGTCCATCATGTTGCATTTGGTATGGTTAATTGACGCCTTTATTTTTTATATAATAGCCTAATTATTACGTATAAATGTATAAATGTGGTAGTTTTTTATATAATACATAAGATTAAACAGTTATAAGAAATGTTAAAGCAACATGACCATTGGAGATTTCTACTTCTCTCTATCTCATATGGAAAACTATACATACTTTGACAACTCAGAAACATTAAACAATTTGGAAATATCAAACAATTTGATATGCAATGTTAGGTTACTGGAAACTTACAGTTAAACCATTTCAATCATTCTCTTATTCCATGAGCACATAAAGCTGTTTCTCCAACAATACAACAATGCAATTGAATTGAATTTCAGGGAGTAATGCAACCCTCAAGTTTGTGGGAAATGAATCATTGTCAAGGAAACTGTTAAAGCCCGAAGTCATTCAACATGCAGTGTCCCACTGTGGAGGGGATTCCACAGTTATGAAAGTGTGCAAGAGCACTAGTGTTCCATGTCGCAATCCAAAAAAGGAAACCAAAGTGGTCGCAAAGGTGGTTGCAACCAGGTGTCGCAAACCATTTTTATATATATGTCGCAAATATGGTTGCAACCATCACCAAGAATTGTGACCAGCATCTATAAAGAGCACATAACTGTATGTTTGAGAGAGGAAGTTTATTAAATCTGACATATGTAATCAGGGTTGGCATCAGACATGGTTATTATCCTGTATTCATAGATCCAACCCTATAAAAAATTTGCATACAGAAATTTCGTATGAATTATAATTTTTATTGCTATGAAATGATTATTATAAAAGATACAGAATTATTCCAGAAAAAATTGTAAAATATACTAATACCAGTCACAGGACATTTCCCGCCGATCTATAGGAGGTTGTAAAACATAGTAAAATTTTATAATCGAATGTCTTCACCAGTGTATAACAGGAGAGAACATCCTATATAAGGAATGGATTTTCACAATTGATTTCAATTTTTTTATACAGTTTAAAATACTTTTACAAGGGTATCATGTAGCCCATTCTTGCAATAAATCATGTGTAAATAA